GGCCGGTGTTGCTCAGTTGGTTGGGTGTCATCCTGTGCACCAGGAGGTTGTCAGTTCAGTTCCGGTCAAGGGCACATGCCAGGGGTTTCAGCTCAATCCCCAGTCAGGGGCATGCAGGAGTTAGCTGATCAATGTTGCACTGTCTCCCTCTCCCCTCCTCTCTCTCTAAAAATATAAAAATAAAAATAAATAAAAATATTCTTTAAAAAAATCTAAATTAAAAAAGAACTTTCAACTCTTCGTGTAATATAAACATTTCCATTTGGCTGTTGAAAGAAGAAATGATTCGAGTAAAGCACAGGGCTTGGCACACATTACCTGCCCAGCAGGGAATAGCCCAACCTCCTCATTTCACACAGGACTTTTTTCTCCTTTTCCTGGGTGAGTGGTGGCAGACCTCGAGGAACAAAGACCTTTCAGGAATTTCCCATTCCCTACCAAAGCTAACAATCATACCAGACTATACTTCTTTGTTTTCTTAAGTTAATTTTTTTCAAAATAAATAACCTTTATTTTTTTAGAGCACTTTAGGTTCACAGCTAAATTGGGCAGAAAGTACAGGAGTCCTCATATAACACCCCCCTCCATTTTTTATCACCCTCCCCCCCCCCACCCCCGCCCCCCAAGCTTCCCCCACCATCAACATCTGCACCAGAGTGGTACATTTGTTACAATCAACAATCCAGCATTGGCAGGTCATTATCACCCAAAGTCCATAATTTACATTAGGGTTCACTCTGTGTGTGTATGCGTTTTGACAAGTGTATAATGACATGCAGCTACCAGTAAAATTTCATACAGAATGTTTTCACTGTCCTAAAAATTCCCTGTGCTTCACCTGCTAATCTCTCCCTTTCCCCCAAACCCCTGGCAACCACTGAACCTTTTACTGTTTCCATATTTTTGCCTTTTTCAGGATGTCATATGGTTAAAATCATACCTTATGTAGCCTTTTCAAATTGATCATTTTTCTTCTTACTGGTTTTAGAGAGAAAGAGAGAGAGAAACACTGACTTTATGCTTCAGTAGTTGATTCTTATATGTGCCCTGACTGGGGATTGAACCCACAACCTTGATGTATCGGGATGATGCTTTAACCAACTGAGCTTTTTGACCAGGGCCAGGATGATTATTTTTCACTTAATAATATGTCTTTAAATTTCCTCCTTGTCTTTATGTGGCTTGAGTAGGTTGTGTGATTATTTTAGTGCTGAATAATGTTCTGTACCATCGTTTACTTATCCATTTACCTAGTGAAGGACAGTGTGGTTGCTTCCAAGTTTTGGCAATTATGAATGAAGCTGCTATAAACATAAGTGGACATAAGTTTTCACTTCATTTGAGTAAATACCAAAGAATACGATTGCTGTTTTGTATGCTAAGAGTATGTTTAGTTTTATAGGGAACTGCCAAACTGCCTTCCAAAGTGGCTGCACCATTTTGTGTTCTCATCAGCAATGAATGAGAACGCATGTTGCTCCACATCCTTGCCAGCATTTGGTTGTCAGTGCTTAGAATTTGGGTCATTCTTTTTTTAATTTAATATATTTTATTTATTTCAGAGAGGAAGGGAGAGGGAGAGAGGGACAGAAACATCAATGATGAGAGAGAATTACCAATTGGCTACTTCCTGCACTCCCCCTACTGAGAATTGAGCCCACAACCTGGGCATGTGCCCTTGATCAGAATTGAGCTTCAGTCCACAGGTGGATGCTCTATCCATTGAGCCAAACCGGCTGGGGCAGAATTTGGGTCATTCTAATGGGTGTATAGTGGTATCTGATTGTTTTTAATTTGCAATTCCTTTAGACATGGTCTTGAGCATCTTTTCATAAGCTTATTTTCCATTTGTATATCTTCTCTGGTGAGCTGTCCAGATCTTTTGCCCACGTTTTAATTGGGCTGTTAATTTTCTTGTTGAGTTCTTTTTTTTTTTCTCCCCCCAATGTTTTTATTGATTTCAGGAAGGGAAAGGGAGAGAGCAATAGGAACATCAATGCTGAGAGAGAGTCATTGATCTGCTGCCTCCTACATGTCTTTTACTGGGGATCAAGCCAGCAACCTGTGCATGCGCCCTGACCAGGAATCGAATGGTGACCTACTGGTTCATGAATCGATGCTCAACCACTGAGCCACACTGGCTAGGCTCTTGTTGAGTTTTAAGAGTTCTCTGTATATGTTGGATACCAGTACTCTATCAAATATGTCTTTTGCAAATATTTTCTTCCAGTCTGTGACTTGTCATCTTATTCTCCTTATTTAAATGACTCAATGTTTCTTTTTGTGCTATTTTTAAAAACATATTTTAATGTTTTTCTTATTTTTTACTTTTAAAAAAGCACAGAAACAATGTGATAACAGCAGATTTTTTAAAAAGGAAATATTTTAAAACCACCCACAATTACTCCACTTCAATAAAATAACTCACTCTGAGAATTTTGTCTATCTAGCAAAGGTTGGGACAAGGTGTATGCAGGCACTAGAATAGTTATTCTAGTGTTTCATGTCCAGGTTTTAGCCTTCAAAATGACATTTTAAAATGGCCACATAATATCCTATCTGTTCCTCAAATATGCCAAGCTTATTGCCTGGCCTTCCCACTAGCTGCCAGGACTGACAGGCTTCTCCACATCATTCAGGTCACCTCCCAGGGGCAAAGGGGTGGGGCTTCCTTGAATGTCATATCTAAAGCAGTTCCCCTGACTGCAAGTTTATTTCCAACCTATTATCCTGCTTCTTATCTTTTAAATATATATATTTTTTATTGATTTCAGAGAGGGAGAGAGAGAGAGAGGGAGAGAGAGATAGAAACATCAATGAGAGAGAATAATTGATCAGCTGCAGCTTGCATAACCCCTACTGGGGATAGAGCCGGAAACCTGGGCATGTATCCTAATGGGGAATTGAACCATTACCTCCTGGTTCATAGGTCAATGCTCTGCCACTGAGACACACTGGCTGGGCCTGCTTTTTTTTTTTTTTTTTTTTTTTTTAAATATATTTTATTGATTTTTTACAGAGAAGAAGGGAGAGGGAGAGAGAGTTAGAAACATAGATAAGAGAGAAACATCAATCAACTGCTTCCTGCACACCCCCTATTGGGGATGTGCCCGCAATCAAGGTACATGTCCTTGACCGGAATCGAACCTGGGACCCTTGAAGTTCACAGGCTGATGCTCTATCCACTGAGCCACCAGTTAGGGCATGCTTTTTTTGCTTGATAGCATTTATTACTATCAGAAATTATATTTATTTATGTCTGTCCTCTCCCACAAGAACATAAGCTCCTTTGCTCTGTATCTCCAGTACCTACAATAGTGCCTGGCACATAGAAGGTATTCAATGAATACTTCTATATGTATAAAAGCCCAATCGACTGACTGGTTGACTGGTTGCTATGACGTGCATTGACCACCAGAGGACAGATGCCCAACACAGGAGCTTCCCCCCTGGTGGTCAGTGCGCTCCCACAGTCAACCTCCCTTGGCCCCAATTGGGGCCAGGCCAAGGGACCTCACCTGTGCACAAATTTGTGCACTGTGCCTCTAGTATTTAATTAACTCAAGAATTAAGAAGACCACAGTTTTCCAAGTTGGTTAATAGATAATAAATTTTTTACTTTATTAGTTGATGCTGCAATAGACCTCTTGAGGAATCAGTTTATCAAAGGACTTGAGAGGAGAGTTTTGGTTCCTCTCTGACCTCTATCGTTTACTAAGTTTGGTGTTGGCCAGTATATTTAACTTCTCTGAATCTAGGTTTCTTTATTTGAAACTAAGGTAATATTAGTGCCTACCTCATAGGGTACCGTGAGGAGTGAATAAAAATAATACATGCAAAATGCTTAGCACAAAGGCCACAAAACAAGAGCAAGTAACATCAGCCATCCATTACCAGCACTCTGAGTACAGTCAAGCCTTGATGACAGAGTGGTTTAGAAGGTGTCTTTGAAGAGGTAACATCTCAGTTGAGAAGGGGAAGACTATTCTAGGCAGAGCACACGGCATGTGCAAAGGTCCTGAGATAGGTACTACAAAGAGGGCTTTCAAAACCTGGCAGAAAAGGGTCTCCAAGGGTCTCCAAGGGTTGTAAGTTCAGCCAGACATTTCAGCCATTACAGTGGACTCTTCCCTCCATCTCAGTCTGATTTTCTTATAAGTTCAGCTACCCTTTTCCACCTATCTGCTGGTGGATGCCACAGAGTGGTCACCTCAAAGTCATGTGTCTTCTCCAATCAGCTTCCTAGTTCCAATTGTCCTATTTCTCTACACTGTCCCAGGCTGTTGCCAAGCTCCTTAATTCTTCCTTCTTCATTCTCTCACTTCTATCTCATCTTTGGTCATCTTCCTAGACCAGGAAAGCAGCCACATTCTGTGGTCCAGTGGGCCATACATAGCAAGCACTTTGGAAACACACCGATCTGGGTTGAAATCCCAGCTTTGCCATTTAGTTAAATTCATTGGGTCTTGGTTTACTGGTCTCCAAAAGGGAGTTATACCTTGCTGGTAGCTCGAGAGTCAAATGAGATAATGATGTTGGTGACAGTAGCTAGCACATAGTAGTTATCTGATAAATGACAGTGTTTTACCTTTGCCCTAATAATGTTGGGAACTCTTGTTTTCATACCTTGGCTCTTCATATTCGGGAAACAGAGTTGGTAAAGTTCTGGAATACCCCTGGCTCCCTAAATATCTTTCTGGAGGGAACCAAATTCTCAAGTATCCCCTTTCAAAATTATTTAAAAATAATAATTTTACAAGTTTAATGTGAAATTAAAAAAACACAAAAACACATAGAAGTCCACTTTCTTTAATGTGCAAAACCATATGAGTGGAAACAAAAGCAAGTTAAACATTATCATATTTGTTTACACCACTATCTAGTTCTTCATATCAACATTACTATTCAAACAATAGCAAGCAGGTGGCAATTAGGTGTTGGAAGAGAGATAAAACAAAACTTTTCTAACCATGTTTATTTTATATGGTGTAGAGCTGTGCTCACAGAGACGGCTTCTTTGACTTCTCCATGAACCTGCTCAAAAGCTGAAGCAGACTAGAAATGTTGGATCTGTGTCCTGGTGTATGGTCAAACAATTCTAACAATGGTGCGGCTACCAGCTTGTAATTTTTAGGGATTGCAAACAAGGCTTTCTGTTGAAGTTGAACTGAAAACAACTTCCTATGTTCCTTAGGTTTTGTAATATGTGCAAGAATATATGGATACTGAGGAGGTTCAGAATTTGGTTTCCACCAGTTACCAATGTAGTTATCGGTGACCCAGTCCTGTAGGATTCTGCCATGGTGACCAAATGTCTCTGTTACTAAGCATTTCAGTCCTTCGACTTCATCTTCTGGGTTAAATTCACCATCAGGTAGTGTGAAAAAAGTTGTTCCCAGCTGTAGCAGTAACACATGGGGTAACCAGCGCTCATGTACAATCAGAACCCCTTCCATAGTCCTTCTTAATCCAATTTTATCAAATTCCTCCCTCATGCATTGAAACCTGGCTACAACAGAGCTGTCCTCAGAGAAGGGCTCTTTTGTTCCCAAAGTATAATGGGTAATAAAGTATGGTTGTTATCATAGTTCATTACCCATTATACTTTACCCCACAACAGTAAGAGGGTAGAGGAGGATGATTCACTCAAAGGGGAGGGGTTTGGATTGTGGGATGCACTTGTTTCTAAACTGGTTGATATCCCTCTGTCCTCTCCCACCCCATTCTTCCTGGGCCAGCTGGTCTGTGAGTGATTGGGTGGGACCATGACAAGTTGGCCAGTACTGGCAGCTAGCAGAAAGGGGTGAGTCAGGGAGACTTTCCCTGTGTGGGCAGCTTTCTCTGCAGCCTCCACCTGTCATTAACATGAGAACCTTATATTATAGTATTTTAAACAGACTTTGATTGGTAATCATAATACCGTTCATTACCTGAGGGTTTACTGCATGCTGGTCACTGTGGAAATGACTTCTGTGCACTCTCCTTCTGACAATCTGTGAAGGTATTTCCATTGTTATAGTTCAGGAAATGGAGATTCAGAAAAGTGAAGTGATTGGCTTGAAGTCACACAGCTAGATAAGAAATGAAATTGGTACCCGAAACCTATGTGTGTGCCCAACCGGCAGGCCATCCTGCCTCGCAGCCCATTAGCAACATGGTTCATTTCCTGAATGACAGGAAGCCCAGAGAGGGGAGAGATGTTCTCAGAATCCAATAATGGGCTGGACCCTCAGCCAGGCTGTGGTGGACCTGCCACAGAGCCCAAATGTGCCCCCGAAGAGCAAACTAGGAGGCCTGAGACCTCAGCCTGGCCCAGACCTCCCTCCCCAGAGCAACAGAGTCATAAACACTGAGGCTGAGTGAGTCACGGAGTATTTATAGATGAGCCTCCTTTCTTCTCCTCAGCTTTGCCAGGATTTATCAGGTTTATTCGGGGCTTGGAGGTGACAACTTGTTTATCATCCAAGGTGCCCAAAGGGCTGTTGGGACATCCTTGGAGAAGGAGGTCTGGAAGACTGCCCATGTTTAGACCTAACCTGACCCGCCCTCCCCTCCCCCCCGCCCCCAGGATGAGACAACTCTCTCTACCCCAGTTGTCCCATCTTCTCCCAAATACCACCCCACCATGCACCAGCCCCATCACAACCACACACACACACACACACACAGTGAACTCACAGTCTCAGGCTAAAATGGGACAGAAATGCTGCTTCTCAGGAATACCTCTTGGGTTGATCTGAGAAGTTTAAAAACTTTCTGTAGCCCCACTATCTTTAAAAAAAAAAAAAAAAAAAAAAAAAATATATATATATATATATATATATATATATATATATATATATATAATTGATTTTTTACAGAGAGGAAGAGAGAGGGATAGAGAGTTAGAAACATCGATGAGATAGTCAGTGATCAGCTGCCTCTTGCACACCCCCTACTGGGGATATGCCCGCAACCAAGGTACATGCCCTTTGACTGGAATCGAACCTGGGACCCTTCAGTCCTCAGGCCGACGCTCTATCCACTGAGCCAAACCGGTCTCGGCAAATTTTAATATTTTTTTATTTATTTCAGAGAAGAAAGGAGAGGAAGAGAGAGATAGAAACATTAATGATGTGAGAGAATCATTGATTGGCTGTCTCCCGTAAGCCCCTAACTAAGCCAAACTGGCCAGGGCAACATTACCTTTTAAATCCTCACAATTTTATAAATTGGTTGTTAATTTAATATGATTTTTACAAATAAGAAAACAGGCTCAGAGAGGTAAAGTAACTTGCCCAAGACCACACAGGTCTAGGTTAAAAACTGAGGCCTTCCTTGGTTCCAGAGTCCAAACTGTAGGTGACCTTGAGCAAGTTACTTCCCCTTCTGATCTTCAGTTTCTTTATCTGTAAAACGAAGACACTAATACCCACCTTTCACAGTTGTGAGCACTGACTCACACTGGTACACAGCGGGCTCGCAGCCACTGCTGCCCCTGACCCCCAACAATCACTGAATTAGCTTATTCTAAGCTGCTTAAGACAATCAGCCAAGTCACAAGTCACAACTGGCTCAGACTTCAGGGACTTGAATCCAGGACCCAGGCTATTCCAACCACACGCCTGCTGCCCCACCCTTTGTGTTTTTCCAATGACCAGGCTGCATGTCCCTAGTGACTCGGAACCCAAGGGTTGGCAGGGGAGGGAGGCAGCTGTGAAAGGGAGGGATGAAGGGGGAGGGGGGTAAAGGATTAGCTTGGTGGATGTGCCCAGAGGCACAGTGGACTGACCAGGCAGGCGTTCACTCCTGGGATCTATTTTGGATGGTGCCGGCCTCTAGGCTGCCAGCAGCTGGAACTCGAGGTGTCGGTGCTGAGTTAACAGAGCGGCCCCAGGAGCCAGATTTAGTGGTTGAGACCTGACCCCAGAAAGGTGGCCTGGCTGCAGGCACAGGGTAGAGCCTGCTTTTGTGATTCCTGGTTGGTTGGTGCTCCTGAGGCTCTGAGCCCTGTGGACTGGGTCTCTGAGTCTTGCTCCCTGCAATCTCTATCCTCTCCCTCCCCAGCCCAGGGCAGAGCCGCTAACTGGAGGTTCAGACAGATATGGATTCAAGGTCTGGCTATTCCATTTACTACCTGTGTGATCTTGGGCAACATACTCAACCTTGGCATCCTGATGTATAATAGAAATGGAGACAATCATAATAACCTTATCGGGCTGTGCTAATTAAGTGGGGTTCCTGGGTAGGGGTGTGTTCCCTTTTCTGCCCCTTCACCATCACCACTGGGGCCCACAGAGGCAGGGTTGTCCTCCCCCTGCTCTGCAGGGGCCTTTAAATACACTCCCCCAGGTGCTGACCTGGCTATTCAGGGGTCCGGAGGCTGCTCACCTCTCACAGTGTTTCCAGAAACACTGGTCCTAAGTGCCCTCTGGCCCATTGGCCAGGGCTAGGCTCTGACACAGGTGAAGACCCAGCTCACTCAGCTGTAGCTTACATTTCCTCTTGGGCTTCAGTACAGGGCCCCAGTAAGGAGCCCCAGCTCTTTGAGTTCTAATCCATAAAAACTGACTTTTAAAAACTCGCCCAGCTGGCATGGCTTAGTAATTGAGCGTGGACCTATGAACCAGGGGGTCATGAGTTCAACTCCTGGTCAGGGCACATGTCCGGGTGTGGGCTTACTCTCCAGTATGGGGCGTGCAGGAGGCAGCCAACAATGACTCTCTCATCATTGACGTCCCCCTTTCTCTCTTTCCCCCTCTCCCTTCCTCTCTGAAATCAATAAAATATATTGATTAAAGGGAGAGGGGGAAAGAGAGAGGGAGGGACATCAATGATGAGAGAGAATCATTGGTCAGCTGCCTCCTGCATGCCCCACATTGGATCTGAGCATGTGCCAACCGTAACCTTCTGGTTCATAGATCAATGCTCAAACACTGAGCCATGCCAGTCAGGCAAAAAACAAACGAACAAACAAACAAAAACAGTGACTTCTAATCTGGAGATTTTCCCCAGCCATTTTCTATGCCAGCATAAAATTTTTAATATATAAATTTATTTACATACACACATATAATTTTTTCAATAGAAAATAATCAGATTGCATATAAGTGACATGTACTTCTTTTTGTGCCTAACAATATATTGCTGACATCTTTTCATATTAAATTTAATAGAAAGTGCAATGTCTGTTTTCAATTAAAGAAATATTTATGTATATATTTATATTTATTTTTCCTCTAGACAGTTGGAATGTTTATTGGGGTACATTTTTACTTTATTTTTTAATAAACTTTTTCTTTAAGTATAATATGCATTCAGAACAGTGCACGATTCATAAGTGCACAGTTCAAGGCATTTTCACAAAGTGATATGCCTGCAAAACCCGAACACTAGTGAAGAACAGATCATTACTGCCCGGCTGGTGTGGCTCAGTGGTTAAGCATCAACTGATGAGCCAGGAGGTCATGCACGGTCAGCTCCTGGTCAACGCACATGCTCAAGTTGCAGCAGATCAATCCCCAGTGGGGGGTGTGCGGGAGGCAGCCAGTCAACGATTCTCTCTCATCGTTGACATTTCTATCTCTCTCTTTCTCTTCCTTCCTCTCTGAAATCAATGAAAAAAAAGTTTATATTTTGAAAAGATCAAATCATTACCAGCAAGCTCGGAGCCTCGCTTGTTCCCTCTTCCAGCTCCCTACTGAATTAACAGGATACTGACTTCTACCAGCTTAGGTTAGTGTGAGTTTCTTGTGAACTTTATAATGACGGAATTATATAATACGTACACTTTTGTTCCACATTCTTTATGAGATTCATCTATGTTGTTGGATGTGGCAATATTCACTCATTCTCATTGCTCTATAGTGTTTACTATGTGACCACAGGACAATTTATTTGTTCCACTGATGGAATTAGGGTTTGTTTCCAGGGTTTGCCACTACAAACAATACTGCAAAAGAACTTTTGTATGTGAATAGATCTACTATGTTGTACACCTAAAACTAATGTAATATGATATGTCAACTGTAACTGAAAAAATTTTAAAATTATAAAAATAATCTATATATCTGAATATCTATTTCTAGCTAGCTGACTATATCTTTTTGTCATCTTTCTAGTATATATATATATATATATATATATATATATATATATATACTTAAATACATTTTTATTGATTTTTAGAAAGAGGGAGGAAAGGAGAGGGAAAGAGAAACGTTGGTCAGCTGCCTCCTGCATACCTCCTTCTCTGGATCAAGCCTGCAACCCAGGCATATGGCTGACCGTGATCAAACCAGCAACCTTTTGGTGCAAGGGATGATGCCCAACTGTGTACCAAACCACACCTGCCACAGCTCTCAGATAAATTTCTCAGAATACAACTACTGAGGCACATGTATGAATATTTTACATTTTGATTTTGTCAAATTGCACTCCCTAAGGTCAAGTGTAGTAGCAGTGTCCATTGCCCTACACTGTCACCAACCTTGGTTATTATTACTGTTTCCTATTTTTGTCAATCTGATAGAAGAAAAATCAGATCTTATTGGGTTTTAATGAGATTTGTAACATTAGT